TTCTGATCTTGGGCATAGACGACGTACAATCATACGTATTTCTCATTGTTTCGTCAGTCCTAAGTAAATTAAAAGGAAAGAAAGGAAGGAAGAAAGAGATAGAGAGAGAAAGAGAGAGAGAGAGAGAGAGAGAGAGAGAGAGAGATATTTATGGTCAATGCCAGGGGTAGTATGAGGGACTAACTAACTAGGGTTTTAAAAAAGTGATATTACATAAACAAATATTTATATAGGCAAAGAAAAACATTATTAAGGTTGAAACATTCTAATCTCTATGGGCCGCAAGTAAGAGCGACGAGAGAGTCAAATGAGGTAATGAAAGATAGAAGAGAGGCAAACAAAAAGGAAGAGTGTGAAAAATAAAACAGAAGGAAGAGAGAGCAATGAGAAGAGGAGATAAGGTGAAAGAGTGAGAAACTACAAAAGGAAAAAGAGAGGGAAAAAGAAGACATAACCCAGCGTAACGTGAGAGAGAGAGAGAGAGAGAGAGAGAGAGAGAGAGAGAGAGAGAGAGACAGAGACAGAGACAGAGAGAGACAGAGAGAGAGAGAGAGAGAGAGAGAACAGACAGACAGACAGACAGACAGAGACAGAGACAGAGACAGAGACAGAGAGAGAGAGAGAGAGAGAGAGAGAGAGAGAGAGAGAGAGAGAGAGAGAGAGAGAGAGAGAGCGAGAGAGAACAGACAGACAGACAGACCAGACAGACAGACAGAGACAGAGAGAGAGACAGACCAGACAGACAGACAGACAGACAGAGAGAGAGACGACGGAGGGAGGGTGAGGGAGAGAGAGTGAGAAGAATCTGTGGACTGGATTTGAATAATAATTAATAAATTAATTGATAAAAATGAAATAATACCATTATTATTTGCAAATCTTTATAAATAAGAATATCTTCGACTCTCTTACTGTTGTAACAAACTTGAAAATCCCCAGCGACAATTTGTACGTGATGCGAAAGAACAATTATATTGTTGTTGTTTGTTTTGAGTGTTTTATTTCCAAAAGAAACTTTTTTATTGTTGATAAACACATAGCTTTTTTAAAAATCTATTCAGCTTTGGTGATATAAAACGTGAACGTAACAACATGATGTTAAATCGTAACTGTAAAACATGCCCAGGCACGAAAAAAGTTCAAAAGTATTCCTATCCTTTCATCCTTCCCACACCCACACGCCGGAAGAGACAATCCCATGTTAAGGATAAAGTTTGAGTTGAAACTCGCCTTATGTGGCTTGAAAAGGGTATAAACGTCAGGAAGTCAACTGAGACGGACTTCTCGTCAAATTAACACTAGCCTCTTGGAATTTCGTTTTAATAGAGTTAAGTTTTCGTATCAGACAGTTTAGTACGGCGCAGGACTGTAATGGCAAACAGAAAATGATAGTTTTGGAACTGAAGAAACACATGTGCACTGGTTTGAATGTGAAGGATTTGCCCAGTTTATCAAACCACGATGAAAATATTTTTTTTTCTATCTTTCCAGATTGGATTATAATAATACTCATCAGGTGAAATCGATTAGACAATATTGACATAAAACACTTTCGTTTTTAATCCACAGCCCAGCCTAAGTATTTATTAAACTCGATTAGCATAATAAGCTGGAAGACTTCCCTTGGCCCTTCTTTAATTAAGCCCATGGCAAGTCCGGTAAGGGGGAAACGAAATCCTTTCATACCGTCCTGTTCACCCTCTATTTCAATAAATCCGCCCTTTTTGAATTTAAAATGAGTTCGAAATGTGATCGGCTCTTCTCGGGCAATTAACGTTTCCCTTGGGGCTATGAGTTCTTGAGAATTCGGTCTTCAACTGAAACGACTGACAAAATTTCAGCAGTGTTTTGTTCGAGTCAGGGCCACGTAATCAGCTTTTTATTCAGCAATAAACAATGGTAATAGAATTTTCAATTAGTCACTGTTTGATGAATTGTTTTATTAAACAACACAGTTTCTATTTTCATTCTTTCATGGAATTTTCCAAAACATTGAAAGTCCAGGATAACAATCAAAAAGCTACAATTTCCATCATTAGACGAGAAATCAAAATTAATTTTTTCCGATTGATCTTCATGGTCTAATGGGCTAAGAAAGAGCCGCTGGTGAATGAACTTTGGGTCAGTCTAGTCTTGCTGGCGTCAAGAAACGGTCCAGAAAAAAGAGGCGTTTTGATGTATGCCATCATCAATAAGTAAAAGCTGTGAGAACCTTTCATTTGTTCGGCCACGTGTAAAAATGAGGTACGAAATATATACAAAAACAAGAGTTGAAAAAAATACCCATTGTCAGTACTGATGCTAAAATGTAAAAAGGAAGAAGAAGAATAAGAAAAATAACTTTATTCTGGGACTAGTGTCCCATAAGAATGAAGTTAAAAGTAAAAAAAAAAAGATAGAAATCTTGGCACAATTTATACCAATAAGGCAGGACAGAAGAATAAGTTACGAGAATATTAAACAGAAATAACAAATGTTAACGATAACAAATGTTAACGTGAGGTCTCTGCTTGGAGGGAGAGGAGGTGATTATACAGGTGGGATTTAAAGGAGGAAAAGGAAGCAGCGTGACGAATAGAAAGGGGAAGGGAGTTCCAGAGTTTAGGGACTCGGATCAGAAAGGATCTTTCGAAGGTATGGGTTGTATGTTGCGGAAGGATAAGATCGATTGGGGATGAGCAGGTCTTACGAGTGAGATGTGAGGAGTTGAATTGGAGGGATTGGGACGACGAGTGTGGATGGACTGGAAAAGAAAGCAACCTAGGAAATACTGTGCACGGAAGGAGGGGAATAGCCAGAAAAGTTGGAAATACAACCCCGACACCGGGGATCCCCGTGGGGTGCCGTACACAAATTTTACGAAACAATTCATAATACTCTTCAATCGCGCGTTTTCCCCCTCCGAGAGACCACCGTATGCCAAAAAGCTATAATCGAAGAAGGGAAGTATAAGGGAAGCTACAAGGAGTTTGCGGGTGGAGAAAGGTAAGAGAAGCCAGGATCGACGAAACAGGCTGAGGGAGGCAATGAAATGGCGGGAAATTTGGGAAATGTGAGAATGCCAGGAAAGGTTTTGGTCAAAGACTACTCCTAGGTTTTTAACCGAAGAGCAGAAGGGAATGGGATGGTTATTTAGCATGAGAGGTGGGATGCTGGGGAGGGAATTGAGGAGTTGCCTGGACCCGATAATTATGGCGGTGGATTTGAACGGATTTAGGACTAGGGAATTTTTATGGGCCCATTCGTTGATGGAGTTTAGGTCTTTTTGGATCTTGAGAGTGGCCGAGTGAAGTCGGAAGGGTGGAAGGATATGTATATTTGGGAGTCATCGGCATATAGGTGATAGTTACAGGACTGGATGGAGTCTGGCAGATCATTGATATAAATGGAAAAAAGGATAGGAGAGATGCTAGAGCCTTGGGGCATCCCAGATTTTAGAGGGAGGAAGGAGGAGGTAAGGCCATTGGGAAGGGAGACAGCTTCGTGGCGATTGGTAAGGTAGGAGTGGAACCAACGGATGGTGCAGGCGGAGAAGGAAAAAGATTCGAGTTTAGAGAGGAGAGAAGAGTGAGGGACAGAATCGAAGGCTTTAGAAAAATCAAGAAGGACAAGTATAGTAACTTTCCGTTGGTCCATTGCTAAGTGGAGGTCACTGGTAATTTTTATTAGTGCTGATCGGGTGGAATAACCTTGGCGGAAGCCAGATAGGAGGGGGTTGAGAAGATGGGACTGTTAATCTTTCTAGGGGCTTGGACAGGTTTGAGAGGATGAAAATGGGACGGTAGTCTGTAGGGGAGGATGGGTTGAGGGTTTTATTGACAGGGTGGACAAGAGCTTTTTGACAGGCTGTCGGAAAAACAGAGTTTTGGAGTGAGTAGTTTTAGATGTGAAGTGTCACGTGAAAACGCAGAAATTAAATCGGATATTTTGCCCGAAAACGAAAAAGAACGGAAAAATGAGGCTTATCTACAGGATTGAGATGTTGCTCCACACCAGTACGCCAAAAATAAAAGCAATTGACAAACCTCAGACAGGCAGGAAAAGCAGTTGAACCAGAGTCGATGTGTCGCGTATCGCTTCAAGGAAGGTTTTTTTTAAATATGTTATATGTTAAATATGTTATTTAAATATTTAAAGGAAGCACATGAGCATAAACAGCAAGCCGGGGTGTTAACCTAACCTGATCAAAGGTAGGCAAGAAAGGCCCCAGGTAAAAAGAGGAGGATATAATGCCTACCACACGATAACCAACAGGCTAGTTGAATGTCCGTTGCAAAAAACCAAATTATATTTTGAAAATTTAGGATTGAAATGATTCTTTTTAATAGGAGCTTTTCCAAAAATATTTCCTTAAATGGGTAGTAGACTTGTTGGCCTATATGAAGTGATGGCTTTGGTCTTCCAGTCATCGAACTCATGACCGGCACATGGTCACTTATTGGGTCTGTCTCTTCTCGCAATTTTTTTTTTTTAGTCAAACGTGTTTCGACATTGCGCCACCTTCACTGAGGAACTCTTTCTTCCGAGTTTGACAAATTAAAAAATAAATAAATAAATAAAACAACTCTGCCGGTTCTATATGAAGTGTATTGGTTTTTTTTGGTTAGGAGATATTCCGACAGTATATACTAGGATTTCCATGCTGTAAGGTAGTTTGAAGATCAGAATTAAATAGATATGAAATGAATATGACCTTTTAATCGTGTCAAAAGAAAATTATAAATAGTTCCTGGCTGTTGACGTTTTTCCGTAAACCTTTTGTCGGTATGACTGGCCTACTCTCAGTCAAAAACTTACCTATTGAGATTACACAATGCCAAAAAGAAGTAAAAAAATCCATCGACTTCTACAGTAGTGATATGTATTTTTATTAAGGATTTGCCTTATTTATCTTGTCTTTGATATGGAAGACAAATAAAAGTTACACATTGTTCTGTAGTTATGGAAAATTTTTGGTCAATTAACCAGGATTGTAGTTGTATAATTATGATAAATGTTACCTTTCGTGTTTCGATGTCATTGAGTATGTGTTTCTTTTTGTGTCCTAGGGTCGGGGTCACGTTGTAGACACTGCCTGCCTTCATGGGGACTTTGGGCGGGCTTGCTGCGGCTTCGTAAAGCTGCTGGACGCAGACGGGTCTCGATGACCTGGTGAACAGTTCGGTCTCGCATTCCTGCCTTATTTCGAAGTGGTTTTTGATCGACCAAAACTCCGTCAAATCGCTCTCGGCTGTAACAGAGGAGAGAAGGAAAATAATAAACTTTTTTTCGGCTTTTACGGCGTTCCAATGGCCAGGGCCTTTTCGGCCGACCGTGATAAAAGGGGTGGAACAAGTAGTCGTAACTTTTATTTTCCAGCTTTTTTGTTCTCGGGCGACCTGGTGAAACTTCGCCGGTTTAAAATTTGAAAGGGTTTGTTTATTTGGTCGTTTTTTAGAACTTGACTCATAATATATTGGGAACTAAAACTGCTTAAAAATAAACCAATTCGTCACAACTATGTACAACGAAAAATCAAACTTTGATTTATGGTCAATGCCAGGGGTAATATGAGGGACTAACTAAATAGGGTTTTAAACAAGTGATATTACATAAACAAATATTTATATAGGCAAAGAAAAACATTATTAAGGTTCAGACATCCTAATCTCTATGGGCCGCAAGTAAGGGCGACGAGAGAGTCAAATGAGGTAATGAAAGATGGAAGAGAGGTAAACAAAAAGGTAGAGTGTGAAAAATAAAACAGAAGGAAGAGAGAGCAATGAGATGAGGAGATAAGGCGAAAGAGTGAGAAACTACAAAAGGAAAAGAGAGGGGAAAATAAGATATTAGAAAATAAAGCAGTAACCCAACGTAACGTGAGAAAGAGAAGGAGAGAGAGAGAGAGTGCGAGAGCGAGAAAGAGAGAGAGAGAGAGAGAGAGAGAGAGAGAGAGAGAGAGAGAGAGAATAGGTTGAGACATCGAAGCTTAAGAAAACATAAAATTAGTATAGGAATGAATAAGAAATAGCAAAAGGAAAATGAAAGGTAACACGGAGAATAGGTAAAACAAGAGAAACACTAAGTAAAAATGAATAGAGGATAAATGAGAAAGAAAATGTGAAGCTACCAAATAGAAAAACCATTATACAGGGTACCTCAGGCCCAGTTCGACTTCTAAATTTCATCTACCACCATATACATCTTGAAAATCATTTTAAAGAATTTTTTAAGCTGAAAACAATGGTGAAGTCGGATTTTACATTGGTCCAAAAATGACAAAGTTATGACAAAATGTTGGAAAAAAAATTCAGTTGGTTCGCTATTTATTAATCACATTTCATGTTAACTGCCTGTCTTGCGTAAAGATGCAAAGATTTGATCTTTTTAAACACTCTTTACCGGTGCTCAGAGAGTAAGAGATAGAGTCAGGACAGATGGATTTACAAGCATTTTCTATCCTTTGAAGCAGTTCTTCGCTGAGGTTGCGGGTTATGATTGGCATAGATACTGTTTTTTAAATTGCTCCACAGAAAATAATCAACTGGAGGTAAATCGGGTGACCGAGGAGGACAAGAGATCGGGCCGTGAGTTCCTCCCTACCCACCTACTCCGGAAGTGACGATTTAAAAAACGTCTCACCTGCAAAGAATTGCGTGCGAGGCATCCATCAAGCTTGAGAATCATTCTTTGTCATTGATGTACCATTTAAATTATTTTCATAGAATAAGGCCGAATTAATTTATGTCCGAGAAGTCCACACCAAAAATTGATATGGTGAACAATTTGATGATGACAGTAGTTAGAGTACGAAATTCTCGGATTTTAATCAGTTCACGTTCAAAAATTCCAACAGTTTATTATGCCATTAGAGGTGAACTTGGATTCATCAATCCATAGGATATATAGAAGAACGTTTTCTTCAGCCTCCCAAATCAAAATTTGTGCAAGGATCGTTAGGCGACTGTCGCAGAATCCCGAAGACCCTGGACAAGATCGGTCGCTCTTCGGTTCTTTTTGAATGGAATACTGAATGTACTATTGTAAAATTTATTTACATCCAGGATTTAAGAGTTGCTCTCATAATGCGAGTTTGACAAACAATGTAAATGATAAAGGCAATTAATGCTTACTTTAGTGAAGAAGAATTATTGGAAATAACAACAAAATAAACTAAATGCGTTTTTTCAAACTCTTTGCCATAACATTTTCATTTATTGTATTGTACCAATTTAAAATCCGATTGCACCTATGTTTTCATCGTAAAAAATTCTTTAAAATTAATTATTCAGAAATAAAATAAATAATAAATTGTAAACAATGTTTGTAAATCCCAGGCCCTGAAGATGATCTCAATAAAGATCGAAACGTTGGCACGATAAAGAAAATGTTTTTCTGAAACCTACATCACACCTGACCGCACCTCACGATTTCTGAATAATTATCAATTAACGGTCATTAATCACCACACATTCTTTAAAATGATATGTCAGGATGTACAGGGTGGTATTTGAAATTTTGAAGTTGAACTGGACCTGACGTAACCTGTATAATTTTTCTTGAAAAAAAGGTAGAAACTTGAAACTTTTTTTTTATAGCGTCATTGAATCAGAGGAATCCAGCCGGGCCCTATAAAAAGGACACCTTGTATAAAAATAGTATAGATGATATATGAAAAAGAAACTGTGAAGCTAAAAAATAGAAAAAATGTAAACATGAAAATAGGGTCGTACAAAGAATATGAGAAAATTAGGAGAGGCACCAAATACAATAAAAAATGGGTAGCTAAACAAATAAATATACAGGCATATAGAGAGATTAATAGACAAGTGATATACAGATACAAAATACTACTTGATATATAGAAAGTCATAATTGATAACTACTGATATATACTGATGATAAAAGATAAATAGATAAACATACTGATTGATACATATACAGTAAACTTGATACCCAGATAAACAGATTAATTGATAGATTGGATAATTTGGGGAGGTTGGAGGGTTATACTTATATATTTGTAAATATTGATACATTTAAATATGGAGTGTTAGATAGAGTCGTGTAGATGGATAATGATGTGTATATATTGCAAATAATAAACCAGTCTGTTGATGAGCTTCAATTGTACGCCAATTATCCTAACATCATTATGATAATTGCACTATAACTAGCATTTAATTGGTAAATCGTTTATTTGAAACCATTGCTGAAGATTGACCGATGTGTAGAACAAGAATAGACCAGGATTCTCCAGATGTTAAGCAATAACAAGTACGGAAAGAATATTTTGCTGTTTTAAACGCTTTATTGATACCAAATAATTTGATGACAAATAAATTCGTTTTAATGATTCGTTATGGATAAAAAGACGCCGAGTCCCTTGGGCCGACTTACATTCCGTTCATTTCCAAAGCTGGGCCCTCCAACACGAATAACCGTTATTTGAATAGAATCCTCTGGAGGAGCTGAATTACACGAATCAACTTTTATGGCCCACTTCGACCCAGTTGGAAGTGATAATCGGAGAGTGACACCGACGCCCTTTTCTTCTTCTTCTTTTTTTTTTTATTAAACGAAATTATCCGTTTGAACTCGTCTAATATAACCAGTGATTTGTTTATTTCGTTTTTTTTTTGTCAAACCGTTGGACTTGGTGCTGAAGACATTATTTGGTTTTAGGCCTGCTCTGGCACGGCATGGACGGTCTTCTATAACATTTGTTTATGGGTTAATCAAAAACATTAAAAATTATCGTTGTATATTTTGATTGTTATTAAGCCCTACTGAGTACGAATGATCTTTAATATTCGTCTTATTTAAACTATATGTTGTTTTGGACACGACTTTTAAATAACGAAAGTTAAAGATTTGACAGGATATTAAAATTAAAATCTTTCGTAGGTAGTTGGCGTCTATAAATAGCCGTGGAGGCGAGACCATCCAAGTCCGTGGGCTTCATCGGAAAGCCCCCGGCATCGCCCACTCGAGTCATTCACTGCACCGGCTTTCATCAGAATGAAAAGAGGAACGCATTGTCCGAGGGTCAATCACACGGCTGAACAACTCGGGGCGGTACGACGCCATAAAAGGACGAAGACAACGGTACAATTCACGACAAACCGGGCGGAGGGCGAGACAAATAAACAAACTGCGGGTAATCTTTGTTGCCTCGGTTGGGAAAAGAGTAACGAAGTAAGAAGAAAAACCTACACCACTTCGGGCGGATTTGGTGATAACGGATAATCTCACGGCATGGTCTTTCCATGTCCAAATTTAAAGTGCGAGGCAATCCTTCGTCTGGATATCAAATTCCATACAGTTAACGATAAAACTGCATCAAATGGATTAAATAATAAAAAAATAATACAACTTTTTTCCTAAAAAAGACGAGTTTTGACATCAGTCTAAAATTCGATGTATATATGCATTTTAAAGTTTCTTTATCCTTTTCCTCATACTGCGACCCCTCTACTGTGGAGTGATTAACTTGTGCCTAGGTCATTTTCAATCATTTTAATCTGTTAATTCTCATCCGTGTGTCCTCGCTATTAATTTGTTGCTAAGGTTTTTTAATCAGAAGTTGACGTAGGATTAGTAAGTACATGCTTCAAACTTAGTACCTCAGCCTGTGCTAGCTGTGTTAAATTGTGAGATTTCTTATAGGGATCTGGGAAAGGACCAGAGTTGGATCGTTTCCTATCATTTTGGCCTGCCTACACTCGTTCAATTTGTCTGTAAGACCTGTTTTGGATTATCGACATCTTCAGTGGTGGCAATTTATTAAGGACACAAGTTACAAGTGCTTAGAAAACAAAAGTCCGAAGCAAATTTTTTCTTTATTTCTAGTTTATAAATATTTTAACGCGTGTCATAAAAGTTGGAAAATAAGCCTATTTTATTTTAAAAACGTGGTTCTGTTGCTGAAAAATTGTTGCATCGTCAGCAAAAGTGGATAAGAATAGGGTGAGCGACGTTATGTGTCCCACCCATGTTTTTTTAATGAAAGACAAATAAAAAATACACGTATTTAATGGTTTCTGATGTACTTTATTTTGACTAATTCAGGTTGAATTTTTCTTTAAATATTCCAGAATACACCAATCTACTTTCTATTTCTAATGGGACCCTATTACGTTTTCACACATTTTTGATAGTATTTAGACTCCTGAACAACATTTTGTTCTCAATTTTGTATCAAAAATAAGAGTTGCTTCTCTTTAACTTCACGTCATCTTAAAAATGTCT